AAAAAAACACCCAAAACAACACCAAAAAACAAAAAGGTAATTATAATAAGAAAATAATTACATGTGTGCAAACTAACCTAAAAGAGAAGTAGCAGGTACTGTGACAGCATGGAATTAAAGGACCTAACATAATTTAATAGCTTGGGGACGCTAAGGATTTATTTATAGGAATTAAAAATTATAAACTGGGCTGGGAATGTAGCTTAGTGGTAGAGTGCTTGCCTAGCGTGCATGAAGTCCTGGGTTTGATTCTTTAATACCACATAAACAGAAAAAGCCGTCTAAGGTGCTGTGGCTCAAGTAGTAGAGTGCTAGCCTTGAGCAAGAGAAGCTCAGGGACAGTGCACAGGCTGAGTTCAAGCCCCAGGACAGGCAAAATAAATTATAAACCAACTACTTGGCTACAGGCTGGATTATGTTACTGGAACACCATTATCATGTGTTTATCCTCATTTACCTACCTTGGTGAGAGAGCTTCCCTCCTGTACAAGTTTACAAGGGGTAAACCCAAAGCTCAGGCTAACAGGGGAAGATCAGAAGCAAAGTTCAGATGCTTACTAAATTTTGGGGTCTTAAATACTCTGTTAAATCTGTTGCATTTAATTTTATGAATGCACTGTTTCAAAGGCAATTTTTATTTCTCAGGACTAATATTGTTAGCATATTTGGAAAACTAACTTTGTGAGGCTTTTCCAAAGGTTCTTCAGAAGATTTGGTGTTTTGACTTGAAATCCAGCTAATTATGACAATCTGTGGAGGACCTCCAGTGGTGTTATTTTATTGTTTTTTTTGAGAATGTGATGAATTTTATGTTGTACATTATTTTGCTTTTAACAGCACTTACAAGCAGCCATTTTCCCTCTGACGTGTAAAATTGGTTTTCAGGGGTAATGAAAGTAATCTGTTAACATTTAACAGAATTCCATGTGATCTTTACCCTCTACTTTATACAGGAGAATCATGTGAATCTGTTACATATCGAGTCCCGGAAATCAAAGAGAAGAAATTCTGAATTTGAGATTTTTGTTGACTGCGATATCAACAGAGAACAATTGAATGACATTTTTCACCTGCTGAAGTCTCATACTAACGTTCTCTCTGTGAATCCGCCAGATAATTTTACTTTGAAGGAAGATGGTAAGTTTGAAAAGTGAAAATGCTACTTAGAAGAATAATTACCTAATGTACACTCAATCTTTCATTTATCTTGAAGACATGAAAGTAAAAATAAAATACTGTCATTTCAAATATCTCAGAAGATATTTGAAAGATGGCAAGAATTTCTTGATTCCAAAATCCTCCAGTTTTACAGTTCTTGAGCAACACAGGAACTCTAATGGGAACTTAGCATCTAGCAGATATTGAATGAATATTGAATTTATTGATAGTGTCGATAGTGTCTAATGACTATATTATAAATTATGCACTACATTCCCATCGAAAGTAAATGAGAAAGCAATACAACTAAGACTTCCAATATGCAGATAGCAAAGATAGAGAGAAATAAATCTTATGGCATTAGTAGATAAATGAATTGATTGAGGTGTAATTTATATATGGTTGAGACCTAAAATAATTTCTTCAAATTACATTACAGACTGGAAGAAAGCAAAGGAAGGGAAGGGGCAACATTGTCCAAAAATGTATTCATTATCTGATTTATGAAATGCTAACCCCTCTATATAACATCTTAATAATAACAATAAAATTATATTATAATTTGGAGTATATTCAGGACTGATACTTAGTGGCCTTATATTTGTGCAGCTGTATAATTAGTAAGATAGGGGTATAGTTCCATGTGTATTATGCCCAAAGTCTCTATTGCTTCCTGCTCTGCCCTAGGACATCCATGCTCATCATTAATAAAGAAGGGTTTACACCTGGCTGAGCAAAAGTGAAGGCTGCCCTGCAATCTATTTGGAGTGGTCAGTGTCCTTGTTGTATTTGCTGTTAAATCTCTTAATACTACTCCTACAAACAGAAAGAGCAAAGCACTGGAGCAGGGAGGATTGAGTCCTAATCCTTGTTCTTCTGTTGGCAGTGAGTAACCTTAAATAAATTCCTTCCCTTTGTGGAGTTTGGTTATCTCACTTATAAAATGAAGAGTTTTATAGATGGCTAGATGGTTCCAGTGATATTTAGGGTGCACTAATTTGTGCCACATATTTCTACTAAGAAACAGTAATACAAGCACAGTTCTTATCCCTTCATCTCGTCTTCTGCGAAAGACAGACATACAAATACATATATTACAATAAAATAAGAAAGCCTTTAGAATGTCGAAGCCAGAGAAAATTCCCTGTTTCTATAGTCAAGAAGACTTTGTGGATTGAGGAAGTCTTATTAGACTTGGGTCTAGGAGGATGAGAAGGTTGTTCTTAGGGAAATGGAAGGGTGGGGTGCAGTGTGGTGGAGTATGAGTGGGATGGATGGAAGGCAAATGTATAGAAACAGTCTTGTGCCGTCTAGAAGGAATGGTAAGATCAAGGTAGCAAAAGCATAAACAAACTTCTAAGATTCTTTTGGTCTATAAGAGTATTTGAAGTTCTTATTAAACTTGAACTTTGGTCGGTAAAGTTATACAGCTTTATTCTGTTTTTACAGGGTAACTAAATATTTGGCTAAAAACAGTTTTTGAACTTTTGGTCTGTTACTAAAGTAGTGTTCCTCCAATGTTTGGGAAATTAACAGAACACTAATACAATTTTTAATGAGTAAAATTGATTTCTTAGAAAGAAATATACTTGTATAATTTTGCTTCTATGTTCAAATTAAAAAATCTCATCTGAATTAATTTATTTCTTAATTATTACTACTTTTTTTTTGCCAGTCCTGGGGCCTGATCTCAGGATCTGGGCATCTTTTGTTCAATGCTAGTACTCTACCACTTGAGCCACAGTGCCACTTCTGTTTATGTGGAATCAAACCCAGGGCTTCATGCATGCTAGGCAAGCACTCTACCACAAAGTCACATTTGCAGCCATCTCTTAATTCAATCTAGCCTTGTTCAAGATTTTTTCCCTTCAACTTCTAGCTGGTTTTTTCTTTATGTTGCAGGTATGGAAACAATTCCTTGGTTTCCAAAGAAGCTTTCTGACCTGGACTTCTGTGCCAACAGAGTTCTGATGTATGGATCTGAACTAGATGCTGACCACCCTGTATGGATTTTTACATACATATTCTCATGGAAATAGTTTAAAGAAAACTAAAAACTAAAAATATGTCTTCTAGACAAATAGGATCTTCTTTGAATCCTGATCTCTGCAAGCATTTGTAGACCCCTCCATTGGTGGAATAGATACTAGCTTCCTGAAAAGTGTCTAATTTCATTGAAGCTAAAAACATCTGTCTTAGGCCTGACATTACTATTATTAAGAGCTATTCCAAAAGTTGTAGAGTTGTGTGGTGTTTGCAATCATTTTTCAAAAATTTAAAATGAGCCAGGCCCTGTTGGCTCATGCCTGTAATCCTAGCTACTCAGGAGGCTGAGATCTGAGGATTGCAGTCCAAAGCAGCCTGGGCAAACTCAGTGAGACTCTTATCTCCAATAAACCACTCAGAAAACTGGAAGTGGCCCTATGGCTCAAGTGGTAGAGTGCTTGCCTTGAGCTGAAGAGCACTGGGACAGCACTCAAGCCCAGAGTTCAAGTCCCACGACTGACCAAAAAAAAAAAAAATTAAAATGGGCATGTGCTATTTGCATATGCCTTGCACAGGCAAGGCCCTACCTTCAATCCTTAGTAACAACAACAACAACAAAAGAAAAGAAAACAAAGTAAAAATCAATCCAGAGCTTGAGGCTTATGAAAGAAAGCTCTAGATTTCTGGGAGGAGAGGAGATAAGAGAATGTAATTATGGAGTGTCACACACCCTTTATCCCCCTCTCTTTATTAGTTGTATGAATGTGACCTTATAATAATCGATTACATATGTGTATATATTGCATAATAAGGAATCTATACTTATATATGCTGAGACAGAAAATACCAGAGAAAGGCAAAATTTCAGGTCGGCCTTAAATGATTTCATCAGGTAAGAGATGGAGAGGAAGGATAATTCAGGAGAGAATAGTATAGGCAAAAGTCAGAAGAGAAAATATGTAGCATGTTTATGGAAAGATGAATGGATCAGTGTTATTAATCTATTACAAATTCTGTTGACATTTACTTCATTTCTTTATTTCCCACTACAACTCCCCTTTAGTTCGTTTCTTGCCTCTAAGTTTGCCAATTGCAAGGCCATCCCTGTAGTCATTAGAATGAACTAAATCCTCTATCTGGCCATCATTCCTCTTCTCTCCTAAAAATCCAGCTAATAGGATCCAAAGTATGTATCTAGGATAACTGAAGACATCATGTCCTAAAATGTGTGCACAACTGTTCATAGCAGCATTGATCACAATAGCTGAATGAATAGAATGAATTCATTTTTCAAAAAAGTAGAAACCATACAAATATGCATGGATAAAGTTTGATACATATATACATATGTATATATATATATATATATGTATATATATAGTAGAATCTTTTTGGCTATCAAAGGCATAGAACACTGAAAGATGACAGTATGACTGATCCTTGACAGTTACAAAAGGCCATGTCCTTTTATATGCAGTATCCCCCAAACAGAAAACAGATTGCTGTTTGTCAAGTGGGAGAGGAAGTGGAGGAGTGACTGCAAATGAAAGTGATTGTGAAATCATTTGTGTTAAAACGATGAATCCCATTCTCTCATTTCAGATGTCTTTTGCAGTCTTATTATTTTCATTATTTGCTCTTTCCTCCTGGATTTTGATTTTTAATTCCTTAATTTGTTTACTTTTTTCTGAAATATTTTTCAGAAGTATAAATACAGAACTATTTTGTTCAATTATTATCACTGCTTCTGCAAATAATGAATGTGTTTGAATTTTGTGATAAAATCTAAGGCTAGAATCAGTTAAGTTACTATTTCAAATAGTATTAATTCTTCTTCCTCTTACTGCTCAGCATTGCTGGAGATTTAACCCTGGCCTCAGGCCTCAAGCATGTTAGACAAGCACTCCACCACAACCCTACTACTGGGCCACCACAGATAAATAAAACTGAAGATATAGTTGAATGTTTAAAGAAAAAAAATAACCCTCAAAAAAGAGCCATGTATTTAACTAATGTGATTCTTTACCTATTCTTTATACTATGTTTTTAGGTTTTTGATTTTTTTTTTTTTTTTGGTCAGTTGTGGGTCTTAAACTCTGGGCCTGAGCGCTCTCCCTCAGCTCAAGGCTAGTGCTTTACCACTTGAGCTGCAGCACTACTTCCAGTTTTCTAAGTGGTTTATTGGAGATAAAAGTCTCATGGATTTACTTGCCCAGCTGGCTTTGAACCGAGATCCTTGATCCTCAGATCTCAACCTTCTGAGTAGTTAGGATTACACATGTGAGCCACTGGCGCCTGGCTATATATACTTATATTTATATGTTTATTTATCTTTGGTAGTAGTTCTAGGGCTTGAACTCAGGGTCTAGGTGCTATACTTATTTATCTTTTGTGCTCAGAGATAGCATTCTACCACAATCTAGCCATAGTTCCACTTTTGGCTTTTTGGTTAAATAGACAGAAGATTTTCACAGAATTTCCTGCTCAGGCTGGCTTTGAACTTTGATTCTGAGATCTCAGCCTCCTGAGCAGCTAGGATTACAGATGTGAACCACCAGCACCCTGCTTTTATGTCTTTGTATATAAAGAAACTTTTATGCTTGTAACCAATTGGAGTTTAGTGCTGTCATGTGACATAGACTTCAAAGTGAAAATGATCATAAATCTCAAAATAATGCTTGATCATAGTATCAATTATGATATAATTTTAATATAGTATCTCCAATAGTAATAATTCTTCTTAAATATCATTTTAGATATTTTTAGTGTGAACATTAAAAAAAAACTATGTTTAATTATCAGGGCTTCAAAGACAATGTCTACCGTAAAAGACGGAAGTATTTTGCAGAATTGGCTATGAACTACAAACAGTAAGTATATTATAAAATAACATATCTGGCTTTGAGATAATAAATGAATAGAATAACTTTTATTTTTTTAGTAAATAAAAAAAAATAAAATAAGCCATGCATGGTGGCGCATACCTGGAATCCCAATACTTGGGATGCCAAGGCAGGAGAATTTTGAGTTTGAGGCCAGCCTGTGCTCCCTAGGGAGTTCCAGGCCAATCTGGGCTACATGGCTGCACAGACAGAATCTATCTAAAAAAAATACAAGTTGGGGCTGGGAAGGTGGCTCAGTGGTAGAGCGCTTGCCTTGCATGCCTGAGGCTCTGGGTTCGATTCCTCAGCACCACATAAGCAAAAAAGAAAAAAGCCAGAAGTGGCGCTGTGGCTCAAGTGGTAGAGTGCTAGCCTTGAGCTGAAGAGTTGAGGGACAGCGCCCAGGCCCAGAGTTCAGGCCCCACGACTGGACCCAAAAAAAAAATAAAATAAAAGTAAAAACAAAAATAAAGGCAAGTAACTTGAGGGTGGTGTTGGGATAGATGGGGGGAGAATGATGCATTGTACTCACAAGCTTACATATTAAATCAAAATCCCTTTCTTTGTATACTTAATGATAATTTAAAAAATGGAGCCAGGTTCTAGTGGCTTACACTTGTAATCCTAGCTATTCAGGAAGCTGAGATCTTACGATCCTAATTCAAAAGTCTATGAGACTCTTATTCCTAATCAATTACCCCTCTCCCTCCACCCCCCCCCCATACCCAAAAGCCAGAAGTGGAGCTCTGGTTCAAGTGGTACAACTCTAGTTTGAGCAAAAAAGAGGTCAGGGATAGTGCACAGGCCATGAGTTCAAGCCCCAGAACCAGCAAACACACAAAAAAGGAAAATGAAGTAAGCACTGCTGTTTATTAACTAGTAATTGGGAATGTTTCCTCCTCTTTATTTCATTAGTGGGGACCCAATTCCTAAGGTTGAATTCACTGAAGAAGAGATCAAGACCTGGGGGACCGTCTTCCGAGAGCTCAACAAACTCTACCCCACCCATGCTTGCAGAGAATATCTCAAAAACTTACCATTGCTTTCTAAATATTGTGGATATCGGGAAGATAATATACCACAATTGGAAGATGTCTCAAACTTTCTAAAAGGTAATATACTAAATTATTTTTAATGAAGAGAATGCTCATTCTTTTGTTTCCCTTCTGATCCTAGGGCTTTTTGCTTAAGGCTAGCTAGCACTCTATCACTCCTGAGTAGCTAGGATTACAGACGTGAGCTATCAGAACCTGGCTGACCTCTCTTTTGATCATTACAGCCTAGAGTAATAAAGCCTAGTTACAGGCAAGGTCAGGATTGTCCCGTTCTCTCTCCTTGAGTATTGGATCAGGACTGGGCCCAATTTGAAGAGGGATAATTACAACCTAGAGCAAGAATACAGCAAAGTGAGCAGGAAATTTGAAAATTTATCATGTTAAGTAAAATTTGAAGAAACTTTTAGGTTATTTGACTTG